TTGATGGGTATTTATCAAATAATGAGTCTTCCTGACTTCAGGCCAAGTGCTCTATCCACTGCACCACCAAGCTGTGCCCCCCACAACCCCCAAAAAGAAAGGTAGGATCCCACAGACTAAAATGCTTCAAGGGAAGCCAGCCTAGGAAGTATGGGAGATGATGAGGAATGAAATTCTACAGATACAAAGGAAAATAATTCCGCTGAAAAGGAGACATGGGATTTGTCTGAAGAGACCAATTGATACACAGAGAACTCACCAAGCAAATAGATTTTAAAAAGAACCATTCACAAGATGGAAACAAAGCCAGGTGATAGAGGGTGAATGGGAAGATAAGAAGGCAGAACAGTCTTGTTGAAACAATGCCAGGAATGCCAAAGCTCAGAAGGAGCCAAGACTGGCCTAGGGGGTGAACAACTGACCATAACCAAAGGATTTCATTTTCTTAGCCATATTGGGATGAAGAGAAGGATCAGAGAAGGGAAAGGACCTTTGTTTGGGGCGGGGGAGGCAGGATGATAATAACGGACAACAGAGATGCAGAGAGACCCATTTTTCATTTTATTTCCATTTTCTCGACCAAGGACAATGACTGACCTTCTGACTAGAAACAGCTGAACAACTCACGGAAAGTTGCTAGCCAGATAAATTTAGGAGACAGAGAGAGAGAGCCCCTCACTGCCCTGGATGAAGTCAAACCATCAAGAGCTGGCAGCTGACTGCAGAGCCCCTGTCAGTGGTATTGGAAAGATCATGGAAGATGGGAGAGGAACCCATGGGAGACTGGAGAGGGATAAGTGGAGCAGTTTTCAACAAAGGAAAGAGAGCAATATCTGCCAGCTGTAGGGCAGTGGAAAGGTTAACCTTGGCAAAGAAAAGAACCAGAGAGAGAGAGAGAGAGAGAGAGAGAGGAGAAGAGAGGGAGAAAGAGAAGAGAAAAAAAGAGGAGAGGAGAGGAGAGAGAGAGAGAGAGAGAGAGAGAGAGAGAGAGAAGAAGGGGGTTATAGTGATCCTGGAGACAAGTGATTGAGTGGGGGTGGGAGGATGGTCAGATATGATGTTTAGGAAGATGACTTTGAAAGCCAACTGTGCGATGGTCTAGAGTGAGGAGACTCTTGCAGCAGGCAGACCCACCAGCAAGTTAATGCAGTAATTAAGGTGTGAAGTGATGAAAGCCTGCACTAGAGAGTTGGCAGGGGGCATACACCAGAAATATTTTGAGGGTAGAATTCACAGGATTTGTCAACAGATTGGACGGGGGTGGGGAGAGAGACAGGGGAGTCAAGGATGACACTGGGGTTGTGGGTCCAAGTAACTGGGAAGATGGCGAAACCCTTGAAACGATAATAGGGAAGGAAGTTAGAAAGAGGAAGGGGTTAGGAGGAAAGAGAAAGAATTCAGCCTTTGAAATCAAATGTTTGATTTCAGATGATGATAGAAAAACCATCTTGAGATGGTCAGTAAAGAGAGGAAGATAAGAGACTGGAGGTCAACAGAGAGTTTAGGGCAGGAAAGGTTGAAAGGAGAATCGTCAGCATAGAGATGGTCATTAAATCCATGACAGCTGATAAGATCCCCAAGGGAAGTAGTTTAGAGGTGAAAAGATAGATCCTTGGCAGACATCCACCCATCAATAAGGACTTAAATCAAATCCTGCCTCTGACACACATTGATTATATCACCTTGGGCAAGTTATTTAAATCCTCAGCACGTCAAGCTACTCTCCAAGAATGTAAGCTGCGGTAGAGTGTAGAGTGTAGGTGCTGATTTGCACTGGTAGAAGGAGCTTCCTCACCTGGGAATTCCCTATACCAACAAAATCACACCTATTGATACAATTACGGAATTTTAAAAATGACTAAGACAGTTGTTTATGTTTATAGTTTTCCCAGTATTGAAACAATCCTGCATTTCTGGCACAAATCCAGCTTGGTCAAAGTGTATAATCTAAGAATGTTACTATAGCCTCTTTGTTCACATTATTTTCAATATTTGTAGTGATAAGATTTCTTTTTCTATTTTATCTCTTCATAGTTTAGGTATCAGGACCAAAGTTGTGTTCTAGGAAGATTTTAACAGAATTCCTTCTGTGGTAGGTGAAATAACTGCCACGTAAGGTAGGCCAATTTTATTTTTAAAATATATTGAAGCCATTCTCCAATAGATTATGAACAGGAAGTTTTCAAAGGAGGTTATCTGAACTACTTATAGTTAAGGGAAAATGCTCTAAATCATGACTAATTAGAGAAATAAAAATTAAAGCAACCTTAAAATTCTACCTCCAGAGACCAGCAAAGATGGTAAAAGAGGAAAATGGAAGGGCTTCAGGAAAACAGGCACACTAATACATTATTAGTGGAGCTGTACATCGGCTCAGCTGTTCGAGAAAGCAATTTGGAACTCTAATCAAAAAGCTTCTAAACTATGAATACCCTTTGACTCAGTCATACCACTACCGGGTTTATCCTCCAAAGAGAGCAAAGAAGGGCAAAATGGACCTATATGTACAAAAATGTCTTTTCGTGGTGGGTAAATATCAGAAACTAAAGAGGTGCAGCTAGGTGGCGCCATAATGTACAGAGTGCTGTACTTTGAGTCAGGAAGACCTGAATTCATATCTGTCCTCAGACACTTTATTAACTGTGAGACTGTGGGCAAGTCACTTAACTTCGGGCTGCCTCAGTTCTCTCATCTGTAAAATGGGGATAATAATAGCACCAATTTCCAGGTAGGTCAGGACCATATGAGATAACAATCAGTGCCTCCCCTTCCTTTCCTCTGTAGTTCAGCTTCTGATGTCATCATTCAACTGAAAATGCTTTCTTTGAGTTACCAAGGAGTTGACAAATCTAATGCCCTTTTCTCAGTCCTCATCCTTCTTGACCTCTCTGGAGCCTGTGACACTGTCAGTCGCTCTGCTCTCTGGGATAATTTTTCCTCTCTGTTTTTTGTTTTTGCTTTTGCTTTTCTGATGAGGCAATTGGGGTTAAGTGACTTGCCCAGGGGGTCATACAGCTAGTAAATGTCTAGTGTCTGAGGCTGGATTTGAATTCAGGTCCTCCTGATTCCTAGGCTGGAGCTCTATCCACTGGACCACCTAGCTGCCCTCCTGTCTGTTTTCTTGCCATTGCTGTCTGATGGTTTTCCTCCTACCTGTCTGACCTGTCCTTTTCAAACTCCTCTACTGGCTTTTCATTCAGGTCAGACCCACTCAATGTGGGAGTCCCTGGGTCTCGGGCTTCTTCTGTCCTGGGTCCTTTTCTCCCTCCATGTTATTTCCCTTGCTGTAGATTCAATTATCATCTCTATGCTGGTGACTTTCAGCTCTGTTTGGCCAGCCCTAACTTTTCTCTTGTCTTCTGGTCTTATATCGCCCTCCCCACCTGCCCCTCACCCAGACTGGAAACCCAGTGTTTCACCGCTCCCCTCTCCCCCACACCCAACCTGTTGCCTAGGCCTGTGGATTTTACCTTTATAACATCTCTCAGGTATGCTCCCTTCTCTCTTTTGATGCAGTCCCCACTCTGGTGCAGGCTGCATCATGCCCAGACTGGACTATAGCCATAGTCTGGGCGAGGGGGAGGGTCTGCCTGCCCGCGGCCCACTCCAGGCAGTCTCTGTTCAGCTGCCAAAGGGATCCCCCCAAATAACAGGTCCTCCTCATGTCCCTCCTACCCCCACCATAAATCACAGTAAATCCCGGTGGCTTCCTATCACCTCCAAGATCCCAGATAAAGCCTGTTCTTTGACTTACCTGGTCCCTTCCTCCTTTTCTGGTCCTGTTCCCTGTACTAATACCCCCAGCCACCAGCTCTTGTTCCAGAGACACCGGCCTCTTTGCTGGCTGCTGCACGAGACGCCCCATCTCCCGATGGGCTCCCATTGGCTTCCCCCACAGCCGGACAGTCCTCCCTATACATCTGCGTCTCCTGGATTCCTGGCTCCTTCAAGGTCAGGCTAAATTTCCACCTTTCCTTCCCAACTCCTCTTCATCCTAGCCCTTCCCTCTGTCCGTTATTCCCTGTTTGGCCTCTCCGAGGCTGGTTTGCACATACTGGTTTGCCTGTTGTCTGCCCCATTAGACTGCGAGCTCCCCGAGGACAGTGACTGTCTTTGTACCCCAGGGCTTAGCACAGTGCCCGACACACAGTAGGTGCTTCATACATGTTGTTTTTGACCTGAGCTTTGGCTAAAGTCTCCTTGGGGCCCCTCCCTCACCCCCACAAAATGCCTTGCTGGATTTTTGCTCTTTAGACCTTGTTTCTAAGAGTGTTCTTTGTTCCATCGCCGCCTCCTATAATCTTCTCTCTTCTTCCTCCTTCCCATTTTTTACAAAGAAGAGGAAAGTGAGAAAGAGAAAAAGAAGACTGGGAACACCAACTGATAATGGCAGCGATCTGCTCCTGCGACTCGGTCCCTGTTCTCGCACCCTGGTCCTCACACTTTCGTCCTTTCTCTCCTCTTCGTCAGCTTTAATGGTCGGCCCTGAACCCCAAAAGTTTGTCTTGCTTTTGACTACTCCTTCTCCAAGACCTCTAGGGGGCACCATGGTGCACAGAGTGCCCAGCCGGGCATCAGGAAGACTCATCTTCCTGAGTTCAAAACCAGGCTCAGACCCTTACTAGTTGTGTGACCCTGGGCAAGTCACTTAACCCTTTTGCCTCAGTTTCCTCATCTGAAAAATGAGCTGGAGAAGGAAATAGCAAACCTCTCCAGTGTCTTTGCCAAGAAAACTCCAAATGGGGTCACAGAGAGTCTGAAATGATCTACCAAAAGGACGAAGCAGCGATTCCTTCCCGAACTCTACACTCTCCCCTTAAACTCCCCTCGGCCGTCCCCCCTCCCCCACCTGCTCCTGGCTGAGTGGAGTGTGGTGGCCTGTGTGTCCCTGGGCCTCCTTCTTGCACCTGACTGCCCTCTCCCTCCCCACATAACCCCACCCTCCTCAACTGGAGATCACAAGGAAGAAGCCACTACTTCCCTTTCTTAACAAGGCTGAGGATTGGGAAACATTGCAGGATCCTCTGCCTGACCTTCTCTCCAGAGCGGCGGCCACCATGGGCCCCGCAGGCACCGCCCTGCTGTGCTTGGGTGAGTCCTGGGGAGGGAAATCCAAGAGGGCTCCAGGGACGGTGGCTCCTGCAGCTTTTACAGTGGTCTTATAGACCATTGTGGCCATTCCCCAGTCCATACATGCTGTTCACAAAGGGAGAAACTGAGGCTCGGGGGGGAACTGATTTTCTGGAGGTCCCAGTGAGTGGGAGGCAGGATCCAGGTCTCCTGAAACCCACCTAGCCCCTCTCAGTCCAGTCTCCAGGTCCAGGCTCTGGCTTCCTTTTTGTTTCATCTCTAGGGCTGGGTAGGAAGGAAGTGGGGAGCCAGGTGTAATGGGGGTCTTCTCCAACAGGATTGTGCATGGGCCAAGGGATCAAGGCACAGGCAGGTGAGCCCCTTCCCCCACCCTAAGCCCTTCTGCACCTGATCCCCATTTGGCACAGACCGGGTGGCTGGGGAGGGAGGACTTGGGAGCCTTGCTGAGGCTAATGGGGGTGCCTGTGGGAGGAGAGACTGGGGATGGGGAGGGAGGACCCCCTAGACCTCTGGGCTCTGATTCTCTTCCAGAGACATTCCTCAGACCCACCCTCGAGGCTGACTCAGGCCCTCTGATCCCCAAGGGGACACCTGTCATCCTCAGGTGCAAGGGACATCCTGGGGCTACTTGGTATTATCTGATGATGGGAGAAACTCAGTCCCAGGGTGCAGTTGGAGCCGGCATGGAGGCTAATTTCCTCATCCCCTCCATGACAAAGGACACTGCAGGGAGTTACCACTGCCTCTATAAGACCCAGTCTGGCATCTCAGAGACCAGTGAGCCCCTGGAGCTGGTGATGACAGGTGAGGCAGGACCCCCTAGCACCTGGCTCTACCCCTCAGTCAGGGCAGAGTCTGTGTCCCCAGCAGATTCCTCCCCCCTCCCCCAATCTTCTGCTCCTTGCCCTCTACCCCCAAGTCCAGCCTGGGCTTAGGAGTTATGATGGCAGAACCTCTCTGTGAAGGTGCCTACAGTGTATGTGTGTGTGTGTGTGTGTGTGTGTGTGTGTGTGGGTGGGTGGGTGGGTGTGTGTGTATGTGTGTGTGTGTACTGGGGGAGAAGGGAGAGAAAACTGCACAGGAGATTTGGGGGGGAGCACTCCAATCAGTAGAGGGGGTCAGTTATCCATGGTTATGGGGGAGGAGAAGACTGGGGAGAAGATCCCTGGAGCTGACTGGGCAGGAGGATGCCGAGGACCCCTGGAGCCTGCCAGGGGAGGAAGGCTCTGCCCCAACCAGTGACCTGAATTGTTATAACTGTGCTCCTGCCCTCTCCTGGTCCCCCTCCCCAACCTTGCCCCAGCCCTCTGCCCCACTCCGCTCCTCTGGCTCCTTAGCTGAGTTCCTCCTCATGGTGTCATAGTGAATCTTGGGGCCAGAGAGGAGATAGGAGCCTCACCTCTGTTGATTCCGTTGAGGGTCTCAGCCCGAGCTTCCCAGAGAAGAGTAAATGGGGTCTCCCAGTTCACAACCATGACCTTTATACCTGGAGAGGGAGGGAAGGATGGACCCACAGGTCCCCCCGCCACTCACAGATGAGACCAGGGATGGGGCAGTGGCTCCTCTGTCATTCCAGGCTCTCCTGTCAGCCAACAAGCATGTGTGCCAGGGACAGTGCTAATCTTTGGGAATACAAAGGAGGGCAAAAGACAGAGCCCCCTTCGGAGGAGCTCCCAGTCTACAGGGGAAGACAGCAAGCAGATCCCTTTGTCCGAACAGGCTATGGACGGGATGAACACAAGGGAGGTCCTGGACATCAGAGGGATTGGGAAAGGCTGCCTCTAGGTGGGATTTTAACTGGGAGCTGGCCAAGGAGGCCAAGAGATGGAGATGAGGAATGAGAAAATTCTGGGCCTCGGGACGATCAATGGACACATTGAGTCAGGGGAGAGAAAGAGAGAGAGAGAGAGATTCCTGTGCAAGGAACAAGGACATCCCTGTCACTGGATTACAGAGGGTGAGGAGGGGTGTGGCATGGAAGAAGACTAGAAAGAGAGGAGGGGGCTGGGTTAGGGAGGGCTTCGAATGCCGAGCAAAGGATTTTATACTTGATCCCAGAGGTACTCGGAAGCCGCTGGAGTTTATTGAGTCGTGGGGAGACACGATTGGACCTTTGCTTTAGGAAAATCACCTTGGGGCTGAATGGAGAATGGACTGGAGTGGGGAGGGACTTGAGGCAGGCAGGCCCCCAAGGCTATTGCCGTGGTCCAGGTATGAGGTGATGAGGGTCTGCACCAGGGTGGAGGCGGTGTGAGAGAGGGGATCCTATTCAAGGGGTGGTGTTTAGATAAAAACAACGAGAGTTAGCATCACACTGAATATGGGGAATGAGAGAGGGAGGAGCTAAGGATGAAGCCTGGGTGACTGGCTGGATGGTGGTCTCCTTGACAGCAATACGGGCATTAGGAAGAGGGCAGAGCTTGAGGGGAAAGATAACGTGCTCAGTTTGGAATGTGTGGAGTTTAAGATGTCTACAAGACATCCAGTTCAAAACGTTCACTAAGCACTTGGAGATGTAAGACTGGAGGTCAGGGGAGGTTAGGGCTAGTCAAATAAACCTGAGAACCCCCTGCCTGGAAACTCTAGTTGGAACCATGGTGATGAGAACCCCAAGTAAACTATCATAGAGGGAGAAGAGGTTCAAGAATGAAGCCTTGGGGGATATCCAAGGTTAAGGGGTGTAACTTGGATGAAGATAGGGCACAAAACTGAGGGGCAGTCAGACAGGTGGGGGATCAGAAAAGGGCAGGGGCTTAGTGTAATTTGTGAGATTAAACAGGTGAATAATGAGGGGAAGGGGCCTCAGGCTGCCTCTCAACAAGAACTGTTAGAGGAGAATGGGTGAGGTGGAGAAGGGAGAGACTGAAACAGGGAGAAACAACTGGGAAGGAGATCCCTGAAGAGCCCTGCTATGGGGCAAGCAACCAGGAGGAGATAGGGAAACATGGAAGATCAGAAAAAAAAAAGGACTAAGGTGGGGGGGGCACAATCTGCTGAAGAGGTCACTATGGCCCAGCTGAATTCACATAAGGGATGCAAGAACGGCTTGATGTTACGGAAAACCAAGCACACAGCTAATCACATGAAAAATGCAGACAGAAAGACAATTTGTTTTCAGTCGTTTCAGTCCTGTCTGACTCTTCATGACCCCATTTGGGGTTTTCTTGGCGGAGATATTGGAGTGGACTGCCATTTCCTTCTCCAGCTCATTTTACAGATGAAAAAACTGAGGCCAACAGGGTGAAGTGACTTGCCCAGGGTCACCCAGCTAGTAAGTGTCTGAGGCTAGATTTGAACTCAGGAAGATGCGTCTTCCTGACTCCAGGACCAGCACTATGGCACCACCTAGCTGTCCAGAAAGACAACAGCTATAGGAAAGAAGCGAGATGGCAGAGTACCACCATTTTGATATCACACACAGTGGCTAGAGAGAGAGGCAGCCTCGGGTCCCAGGCTCAAGCAGTGCCTCTGAGATACATAGGAATGAGCACTGGGTGGTAGGTGCTATTATTATCCCCATTTTTTTTTTTTTTACAGAAAGACAAAGGATGTGATTTGTCCAACTGCAAAATTATAAACCCTGTATTAATAATGCATGGCATTTAATTTGTTTCAGCTCCATACATACACATCGAAATTTCATGAGACAATAAGTATGCTCTTTAAGCATGAAACCTTGCGTCTAGACCTATTCAGCAAGCCCTCGCTGTCAGCGGCACCCAGCCAAGAAGTCGCCTTAGGACGGAATGTGACCCTCCGTTGTCAGGACAAGCAGAGCTTTGACAGGTTTGTTTTCTACAAGGAGGGAGGGGCCGACACCTCTCAGCTTCAGAACAAGATGTCTCAGCCTGACTTCCTCATCCCGGTTGTGACTGCTGCTCATGGGGGCCTTTACCGATGCTACGTATTTCACAGTCAACATCCCTACCTGTGGTCTAGAAGCAGTGACCCCTTGGAGCTCAACATCACAGGTGAACGAGCCCCCCCTCCGACCCCCTTCTTCTCAATGTCTCCCACCTCTTCTCACTGGCCCTGAGACCCAGCCCAGCAGCTCGGACCCAGGAAGTTTGGGGAGGATGAGGGGTGGAAAGTCTTCCTGTCTCCCTCCCTGATGCAGACCCCATAAAGGTGCTGCCAAAAAGCCCCAGCCCCTACGGTTTCCCCTCTCCCCTTTCTCAGGGAATCTTTGCCTCAGAATTCCTGTGAAGGTTTAAGTATTGACATGCAATCAAAAAACAACTGATATTTCACTTACCAGGTGCCAAGCACTGCGCTAAATCCTGGGGATACAAAGCAAGATAGAACTAGGCTTCGCTCCCAATTCTAATGGGGGAGACTCCCATCCTGACAGAGGCTTGGGGGGAGGAGAGAGAGAGAGGTGCAGAGAGCTTAATCAAGGGCCTATAAAGGACAGGGGAGAGGGGAGACCCCCCCAGCACCTGCAGAAGCGGAGTCCTCCCCCAGCACCCCAATTCTTCCTGGGTCTCTGCTCCAAACTGACTATCCTTGGAAATTCCCTCCCCACCCCTCAAATGCTCCCTTATGGAAGACTACAAGGAAGGGGAGAGAAGGCTCTCAGCACCCAGGCCCCCCCACGGCCCTGCCTGGCCCTTTTCTCTCCTTATACCGGGTGGCCTGAGGGGACAGACAGAAAAGAGGAGGATCTGGCTGCCTGGAGGTGGGGGGGAGGTCACTAGGGAAAGGAAGAACAGAGCTGAGGGGGGAGATGGGAGCCATATACCCAGCCCCTCGGTTTTCTCTACTCCTGGTTCACTAGTGACCCCATAGTCATCAACACACCCACGTCACCTGGCCTGAGAGCTTCCAGAGCCTCTTAGCCCAGGGAGAGAAGGAAACCCCCAGCACACCTAGATCTTTCCTCAGCCCTGCCTCCCCCAGTTCTGGGTTGGGAGGGGAAGGAGGGGCGTCCCGCTTGTTCTCATGTCACCTCCCATGGGGAAAGACACTGAGTCATCCTCCTCAGGGGACGTCCGTTCTTGACCCTATTGCTGCCTCTGACCTAATTCAGTGACTTGGGGCTCTGTCTACAAGAAAAGAAGGAAAATCAGGTCTGTGGGGCCAGGGGAGAAAAGTGGACCCTGAGGATTCAGAAGACTCCTTCCCTCCAAACCAGCTCCTCCACTGGCCTCCCTCACTTTCCCCTTGTTCTCTAAAAGCCCGGGCAGAGACAGAGGAAGTAAGTCATAGGGATTACAGAGCCATCAATGTCAATGGCCAAAGGACCCCGAGAGGTTAAAATCCAAGCAGGCCCCCATATCTCAGAGCCAGTGAGTAAAGGCAGAGGCAAGTCTCGAACCCAGGCCTCTGGGGTTCCATCCCATGACCTCTCTGAGCTTCTCCTGCCCAGCTCCTGATTCTGTTCCTTCCCAAGTCCCAGAGACATCTGGTCCAAGGCCGGAACCTCCAGACATGCTATTTGGTAAGTAACGAGGGGAGCCTCAGTGCAAGGGGGAGGGGGGCAGGGAGGGACATGGTAAGTGAGGATGGAGCATTCCTTCTTGCCAGCTCCAGGACCATCAGCACCCCCACATGTCCCTGCTCTGTCACGATCTCCTGTGCCTTCTCCCTGCCTCTGCCCCCCAGTCCTTCAACCCCCAGACATGCTTTCCAAGGATCCGAATCTCCCCTCAGAATGGTGGTTCCCCGAGAACCAGGCTTTGTCCTTTATCCCCACTCACACTGGGGGCCCCCAAGGACCAGGATGGTGCTAACACAGCCCCTCCAACTGCCCATCCCCCTGGTCTTCCCCTTTGGCTTTCTCAGGTCTCACCAGACTCCAAGCGGGCATCTTGATTGGCATCTCGGCACTCCTCATCTTGCTTTTCCTCTTCTTCCTCCTCTTCTTCCTCCTTCGACACCACCACCAGCATCAGGCCAGGCTCCGTGAGTCCTTGGGGCTGAGGGTGACTTGGTCTGAGGTCTTGATGGGACACAGAGACTGATCTCCAATTCTCTTTTCAGGGACTGGAGGCAAAGAGGCAGGTGTTGAAGAGACCCTCAGGAGGTAGGGCCCCAGAAAACACCCTGATTCCTTCTGTCCCCTCCACACCCAATCTCCCTTCTCTTTCCTCATTTTTCCATCTTCTTCTACAGCTGCAGCCAGGCTGAGGATGTTCCCCCAGCGTCCCTGTGTAAGTGGAGAGGGAGTATGTCAGGGATAGCATGGCCTGGGGTGTCGGAGGGGGATGTCTGGGACTGGGAAGAGCCAAGATCCTGCTATTTCATCCCTTCCTTTTTGGCTTCTAGATGAGGCTGTGAAGGGTGTCCAGATCGATGAGCGCAGAAAGCCCAGTGCTCTGGTGAGTCTATCAGTCCAACTCAACAACATGGATATGGCCGTGGCACTTACTGTACAGGCCCTGTAGATGCTCCTAAGTTAACAACTCATGTGGACATCTCCCAGTGCTCACCTCCCTTGTGTGGGTCCCGATCCCCTCTCACCTGGACTAGTGCACCAGCTTCCTTCTCACTATCCCCATCTACAGTCCCTACCCTGTCCAACACACTCTAAAATTGATCCCACAAAAAAGCATGGATTCACCTGTAGGCAAGATGTGGTGAGGTCTAGACTATGACATTTCAGGACTGTTTCCCCACCATCACTTCTATTTAACTTCTGCCTTGTTTTCTCATGTAATTTTAGAAAGAAATGTCTTCATGGTCTTTCTGTTGTTATTGTCATTCCCTTGGTTGTTGTATTTGTTTGCCATTCTTATACTTCATTTGTATGGGGTGTTTGAGAAGCAAATAATTTCTTCAGGTCTGGTTTTTTTTTTTTTCTAGTAAAGTTTTAAGCACCTCTTTTCTATAGAATATCCATCTTTTTTCATTTGTGGTTAGGCTCATATTTGTAGGGTAGGGTCTCCTTGGACTGCATCTTTACCTCCTTCCTCTTCAGAACACATTATTCCACTCCCTCCTGTGGTTTCTGGTAGGTGCAGAATAGTCTTGTGTTATTTGACTTTCTTATATAATTGAAGGTCTTCTCTTGATCACTTGCGGAATCCATTTGTTTCTCAATGAGATTGTTCAATTTAACTACTATGGGTCTTAGAGTTTGCAGTCTCAGTTTTTTTTTTGGCAAAGATCTAAGGATTTTTTTTATTGGCTCTTTATTTTCTGTTTTCAGAAATCCTAGGCAGTTTTCTTGTATATTTTCTTGCATTATCTTGTTTAGGTTTTTTAAATCATCTTGTTCTTCAGAAAGATCCATAATCCTTAGGTTGTCTTTATCCATCCTGTCTTTGAACATCCTCCCAGCTGAGGTTGGATACAAGTGAACTTATAATATTCCCAGTCTGCATATTTGTGGAACTTCCTCCTGCTGAGTTCAGAAGAGCATGATGTGGAATGGTGTGACTAATGATGGCGTCAGTAACCCAGGGCTGAGGTCTGGGAAAAGGTGACTGGTCATAGGACAAAGGAGACGGAGGATTTGAGTATAGAAGACATCTGTGCTCTCTTTATGACTATCCTCACTTGATTGGCTCATCTCCCATCTTTTCTCCCCTCCCCCCAACAGGTAGAAGACCCTCCGGAAGTGACCTATGCCCACCTGATCCACAAGACCCCCAGTCAGCACCTTGAGCACCTTCCCCTGTTCCCACCAAGGGAGTCCACCCTCTATGCCCCATTGGCCATCCAGTAAGCATCCCAGTGGGGCCCAGGAGATACTCAACCCATCTCTCCCCGGCTCTGCCTCTTCTTTACTGGCATAGGCCATAATCTCAACCACAAGACAGACTCTAAAGTCTCATTGACATTGAACATCAAGCACCCAGGAATTTGAACATTGGAGTATCCTTAGCCCTAACCTGACACTGAGCAAGAACACTTCAATACATTCCAGTTCTGTGGTCAATAAACCAATCAAAATCCTTTTGTTAAGCACCTACTATGTGCCAGCCACTGTTCTAAATACTAGGCAAGCATCACTTGCACCCTTACCCCCAGCAGCCTAGAAGTGTGCATGAACTGGTGCCTTCTCCTCCTCCAATAAATATTTTCTGCCCTTATTCTGCCAAAACAAGGAAACTGACTGAAAAAGGAAGTAAACAAATAAGTGTATGAATAAAAGAGGAATATGGCTGGGTTATTTCGGTTCTTTCTCATTATCTTTCCCTGAAACCCTGCCTCAGTCCCAACTTCCTCTTACCTGTCCCTATCCTCCCACTCACCCAGGCTTCCTTCCTTTCATGAACCCCCAGGGCTCCCCGCCTCCAGACAAATCTCCTTCCTTCCCTTTGATCCGGGGTGACATCATGCTTTCTAGCTCACAGGAGTAAAACTGGGTTCTCTCCCTGTTGGGAAGAATGGGGCAGAAGACCCTCCTCCCATTCAGGTAGCTGGCCACTCCTGGGATGCTGGGATGCTGGGTCTGGCCCAAGAGATTATCCCCCCTCCCCTCCCCTCCCCTCCCATTGGGAGGGTCTGGAGAAGAGAGACTCTGCCAAGCTGGTTTGGCCCTGGGCCTTTTGGGCAAACAGAGGGGAAAGACAGGTGGAGTGAGGGGCCTGAGTCAGTGTTTCCTCAAGCAGCAAGACAGGAGCTGGAGGTTGCCAAGCAGGCAGAACCTCAGTGCTGATGCCCCGTTCCTGGACTTTCCCTGGTACCCATTTTCTACCTCAGTATGGTACTGCCTAGCATCACCAACCCTAGAGGAAAGGGCTGCTTTCAGCTCCTCCACCCCAGCCCCACCTTCACTCTGACCACTGGCCCTATGACTCTGCCTGTTCTCTGACAGTCCACAGATCAACACAGCAATCCTTATTAAATACTTGCTATGTGCCAGGCGCTCTGCTAATTGTTCAGTCATTTTCAGTTGTGTCTGACTCTCCGTGACCCCATTTGGAGTCTTCTTGGCAGAGATACTGGAGGGGTTTGCCATTTCCTTCTCCAGCTCATTTGACAAATGAGGAAACTGAGGCAAACAGGGTTAAATGACTTGCCCGGAGTCACGCAGCTAATAAGTATCTAAGACCAGATTTGAACTCAGGAAGATGAGCCTTCCTGGCTCCAGGCCTGGTGCTCTATCCATTGCTACCTCCCTGCCATACACAGAAAGGTGAATATATAGTCTCTTCCCTCAGAGAGTTCATATTCTAATGAGGGAAACAAGAGGCAAAAAATTGTCCATGCAAGATATATACAGTGTGCATGGAAGGTGATCTCATAGTCAATCCATAAACATTTAGGGTTAGCATCTACTATGTGCCAGGCTGGATAGCTAGGTGGCACAGTAGATAGACTGCCAGGCCTGGAGTCAGGAAGACTCATCTTCCTGAGTTCAAATCTGACCTCGGGTACTAACTAGCTGTGTGACCCTGGGCAAGTCATTTAACCGTGTGTGCCTCAGTTTCCTCGTTGGTCAAATGAGCTGGAGAAGGAAATGGCAAATCACTTCAGTATCTTTGCCAAGGAAACCCCAAATGGGGTCATGAAGAGTCAGACACAACTGAAAAATGACTGAACAGCCACAAAAATGTGCCATGCACTGTGCTAAGCACTGAGGATACAAAGAAAGGTGAAAATTGTCCCTGCCCTCAAGGAGCTCCCAATCTAATGGGGGAGACACATGCAAATGAGATATATAAAGGATATATCAGAAATAATCAACAGAGGGAGGGCACTAGAATTAAGAGGGATTGGAAAAAGTTCCCCATAGACAACGGGATTTTAGCTGGGCCTTTAAGGAAGCCAGGAGGCAGAGATGAGGAGAGAGAGCATTCCAGGCATGGAGGACCATCAGAGAAATTGCCCAGTGGATAGAGCTCCAACCTTGGAGTCAGGAGGACCTGAGTTCAAATCCAACCTCAGACACTTGACATTTACTAGTTTTGTGATTCTGGGCAAGTCACTTAACCCTGATCACTCACCAAAAAGCTAAATAAATAAATAAATGCCTGGAGCCAAGAGATGGAGTATCTTGTCCAAGAAGGCCAGGCTTCTGGGATCAAACAGTACAAAGAAGAGAGCTGAGAGTAAGAAAACTGAGAAAGGAGGAAGAAACCAGATTGCCGAGGGCTGCTCAGTTGATCCAACCCAGTTAGGGCCCCATCTGAGTGCAGGATGGCCACTGTCCCGCACGGTTGCTCTGACCAAGCTGTAACTTTCAGTTTCCTTTCCACTTCCCAGCCTGGGGTCCCTGAAATCACATATCCAGATTTTGTTTTGAGGTGGTTTCTTTTTTCCACTTTTATCTTATTGTATCCAGTTACTCACGAACCGGTGCCTAATAGAGACAACATGTGGTGGTCTTGATCATTATTATGCCAAATTACTAGTAGGGGCAATTGTCCTCCTGTCAGAAATTAACAAGGGGACTGTCACATCCCTATAATAAAATGAAGATCTGACCTCGAATGTTAGCTTTAGCCTGATTGACCTGTACTTGGGATCATGGAGGTTGGAAATCGCCCTCATTTCTCAGCCTAACAATGATGTTCCTTCTAGCATTGTAATTGGTATTCTCCCCTGTCTTCACTTAACCCATCTTTCCCTTCTCACAGTACCCAGTTCATTTGGGGGCCTATTTTGCCTTTGATCATAGTTCCTCATCCCCTGAAATTATTAATGCTATTTTTTTAGGCAATTGGGGTTAAGTGACTTGCCCAGGGTCACGCAGCTAGTAAGTGTCAAGTGTTTGGTCTGAGGCTGGATTTGAACTCAAGTCGTCCTGATTTCTGGGCCGGCGCTCTATCCTCTGTGCCACCTAGCTGCCCCAATTATTAATGCTGTTATCGCTGTCTTGCCCCCTAAAGTTATTATTACTTCTCCTAGGGCAGGCCCTCTCTTCTCCGAGGGGAGAGCATATAGAGTTTCTGAGCTGATGTCCTCATTTAGTGTTAGGGATGTTATGACATGTTCTATAGTCTCTGCTCCTCCTAAATGGGAGATGAGCACAGACTGTTTGGCCTGCCCTAATTGCTATCCTCTTCAATTGCACAGTATGGTCTATTAGTCCTGGTCTTTCTATATCCTATTCAAATCCAAATATATTCAAATAATTTTAAATAAATTCAAATCCAAATAAATTCAAATCCAAATATTCTACCAGAACCATTTTTAATAGCAATTGTACTTCTTCAGAAATAGCTTTTCATTTGTATGGGGAGTGGGCTGTGGCTTCCTCCAAGCCTGAGAAATCCAATGGAAAATAATGTCTTTGTCATTCTTCTCCCTTCTGCTACCATTGCCTTAACTGGGTGGGCCAGGCTTTCCTCTTCATAAATCATCTCCTTGCTTTTAAACCCATTGTGTTCTATCATGACAAAGTCACCACCTGTTTGGTATCTATTTCCCTTTTCATCTTAGCAGCCAAGAATCATCTATTTCCTCTGGTTTGGTTGTGTGTGTGTGTGTGTGTGTGTGTGTGTGTGTGTGTGTGTGTGTTTTTAAAGGAAGTCTATAAATCTGACCTAAATCTGTTCTATTAACAGGCACTGGTTTCTAAGCTGGAAGCTATTTCTTTTCCTTCTCTAAAGATCTTGTGGTTAGATATGGGACACAAAGGGCAGCGAGGTGGTGCCATAGTGCACAAAGCACTGGCCTTAGAGTCAGGAAGACTTATCTTCCTGAGTTCAAATCCAGCCTTAGACACTTACTAGCTATATGACCCTTGGCAAGTCACTTCACCCTGTTTGCCTCAGTTTTCTCATCTGTGAAATGATCTGGAGAAGGAAATGGCAAACCCCTCCAGTATCTTTGCCAAGGAAACCCCAAATACGGCCCTCTAGGTCCTCAAGTGTGGACCGTTGACTGAATTCAAACTTCACAGAACAAATCCCCTTAATAAAAGGATTTGTTCTGTAAAACTTGTTCTGTCAGAAGGCCACACCCAAGGACCTAGAAGGCCACATGTGACCTTTGGCTGAAGGTTCTCCACCCCTGGCTTAAAGCTTCTAATTAAACCCGGGTCACCTGAGCATTCAATCAGTTCTCTATTTCTATAGTGAAAAATACACTTGTGTCTCCAGAACCAAGTCTGCTCTTTCCCCCAATTTCTTAAGTAGGAATTCCTCTATAACTCACAAGAGTATATTTTTCAATTTCTGCTGTGGTGACTCTGGCTTCAGAAAAGTGGGAAATCCTCTGATGTTGAGTTGGAATTAGGGTTAGATGAAGAACCTTAGAATGGGGGCTGCTAATAGCATAATTATAATAATAATAGACCTTTACTACAACCTTGGGAAGTACCAGCTATTATTTTCAACCTCATTTCACAAATGAGGAAACTGAGGTGGAGAGGGGTTTTGCCCAGGGTCACCCAGGCCCCATATGCCTCCAAATATTCATAGGAACACTTTCCCTTGTAGCAAAGAACTGGAAACAAAGTAGGTACCCATTGATTGGGGAATGGCTAAACAATTTGTGGTATGTAAATGTACTGGGAGATTTTTTGTTGTTATTCAGTGCCTTCTGACTTTTCATGACCCCATTTGGGGGGTGTTCTTGGCAAAGATACCAGAGCAGTTTGCCCATTTCCTTCTCCAACTCATTTTACAGATGAGGAAACTGAGGCAAAGAGGGTGAAGTGACTCACCCAGAGTCACACAGCTAGGAAGGTCTGAGGCCAGATTTGAACTCGGGAAGATGAGTCTTCCTGACTCCAGGCCTGGTGGTGCTCTATCAGCACCACTTAGCTGCCCCAGCTGGAAAATTGTGATGCTAATGAGTAAGTTGAATACCCAGTTAGAGAAAACATAGACATGAATGCAAAGAGAAGTAAATAGAGACCATATATACGTACTATGATTACAACCACATAAACGAAAAAAAAAAAAACAACAACAACAACAACCAGAACAAAGCAATTGAAACTGAAAGTAGCCGTTATAAAGACAAAACCGGCACCAATGAAGAACTATGGGAAGACCTCTCCTCTCCACCATGTGATGTAAAGCGTTGGACAGAATGCCAAAGTCGTTTAAGGGTGGATTCGTTTGGTTGAATTTTTTTTCTTTTTTTCCTCTTTTTTTTTATTCTTGACTATAAGAAATGACCCTACAGGAAAGGATAGCAAAAATCAATAAAATGTTGTTTCTTTTTAAAAGAGAATTTCAGAATCCTAGAGTTGGTAGGGTGTTGGCTTGTACAAAGAGGGAAAATGAGGCAGAGACAGACAGAGACCCAGCCAAGGCCATGTACCTGAGTCTATCCTCTCCCAGAATACCACACACACACACACACACACACACACACACACACACACGCACGCACGCACGCACGCACGCACGCACGCACTCACACTAGACTACATGGAGGAAAACGCCGTCTCAGAAAGGCTAGGGGATTGGGAAATTCTGGGTGGGGCTGACCCGGCTGTATCTTATGTCTCAATCAGCCTGCTTGACCAGTGACCTGTCTTCCTTTTCACCAGAGCCTGGAACCACCATGTCCCCCTCGCTCATCACCTTGCTGGGTGTTGGTAAGTGGGGAAGGGGATGCAAGGCTTAGAAGAGCCAGAAGAGGCATCAGAGACCCTGAGGGCCCCCCTCCCTTTTCTGTCTATGCCATTTACAGAGGGGAAGCCTGAGGTTCAGAGAGAGGAACCAATTTCCAGGAGATCACGCAGTAAATGGGGGAGGGAGGTTGGACCAGGACAGGAACCCAAGTCTTCTGCTGCTCAACCAGCCTGCCCCTGGCGCTAAGGTTTCTCCCTTTTTCCTCTCTTCCAGCATTTAGCACAGCACCTGCAACATTTGTTGTGGTAGTTTTTCAGTCATGTCTGACTCTTCATGACCCCATTTTGTGGGGTTTTCTTGGCAAGGCTATTGGAGTGGTTTGCTACCTGGAAGTGTCCTTCTCCAGGTCATTTTACAGATGAGGAAACTGAGGTAAATAGGGTGAAGCAACTTGCCCAGGGTCCCACAGCTAGGAAGTGTCTGAGGCCAGATTTGAACTCAGGAAGATGAGTGTTCCTGACTCCAGGCCTGACACTCTATCCACTGTGCCACCTAACTGCCCACCTGGCACACAGTAGGCACTTAATGTTTATTGATTGAATGCCTGCCTCCCCAAGGTTTTGGTGGGAAGGATAATGTGTTGATCTGTGTCTGACAGAGATCTTGTCTGGCAGGATTATGGCTGAGCCAGTGGATCAGAGCTCAAGAAGGTGAGTGTTTCCCCCCCATTACACCCCAACCCACATTCCCCCTTGATCCTTATCCAGGCTCAGCACTCACTGGACAGCTGGGAAGGGAGGACAGAGGAGCTGGGGTTGGGCTGATGGGTAATCCGGGAGGAGAGCCTGGAGACAAGGACAGAGGACCCCCCAGACCTCTGGATTCTGGTCTCTTCCAGGGACACTCCCCAGACCCACCCTCCAGGCAGAGCCAGGCCGCCTCATCCCTCACAAGAAATCTGTCACCCTTCGGTGTCGGGGATTTCCTGGGGCTGAGATGTACCGTCTAAGGAGAGAAGAAAGTTCTCAGCACATAGATGTGCCTACATCTGGGAGGGAGGCTGAGTTCCCCATCTCCTCGGTGACACCAGACACAACTGGGAAATACCGCTGCCTGTACAAGAACCAATCCCACTGGTCCGAGCCCAGTGAGCCTCTGGATCTGGTGATGACAGGTGGGAGGGCGCCCCCAAACCTTCCTTTCACCCCTTCTCAGGGGCTGCTCCTTCTTTAGGGAGTCAGAGCCAATCTTGGGAATGGAGAGCAGAAAGGACTCCCGGCTCTGAGCTCAGGGGGCAGGACGGAGCGAGGGGCTTAGCCTGGGCTCCCTGGGGTGGAGATGAGGGGCTCTCCTAAAGCCGGGAGATTGAGGAGGAGGGAGCCACAGCTTCTCTTGGAACAGTCCAGGAAAGGAACAACTTCCTTTCAATGCAATCCCCTTCTGCCGCAGGCTGGTACGATAAACCCTCACTCTCAGCCCTGCCCAGTCCAGAGGTGTTCTCAGGAGAGAATGTCACCCTCCGATGTCAGTCCCAGCAATGGTATGAAAAATATGTGCTGGACAAGGAGGGAGGGGCCAACCCTTCCTACATCCAAGTAACGTCGCCCTTCGCGGATTTCCACATCATTGAGGTGACTGCTGCTCATGGAGGCTCTTACAGATGCTACAGCCTTCACAGTGACACCCTCTATGAGTGGTCGGCCCCCAGTGACCCCTTGGAGCTCAGGGTCAGAGGTAAGGGGGCTCCAGACTGGGCCATTTTATTCCCATCAGCCTGAAACGCAATGCTGTGGCCAAACTGACTGCCCTGGGGATCCCAGAAACTGGGAATATTTGGGTAAGGGAGACCCCCAGGGCTCCCTGAGGAGGGTCAGAGGGAGTGATGGCAGAGATAGGGATCTAACAACTGTAGAACATGACTGGAAAGATTATGAAGTTCCCAAGGCCTGGAATAGAAAGGCTCTCTCCCTAAGTCACTGACAACCTCCATCCCCTCGCCAGATGCTTCCCGCCAGGATTATACTGGAGGAAATCTCATCCGCCTCGGCCTGGCTGGGCTGGTACTGCTCATCCTAGGAGTCCTGCTGGTGGAAGCCTGGCACAGCCAGAGGGGGCACCTAGAAGCGGCCCAGAAGCCCCTGCCCAGGCAGTCAAACCAAGCCTAAGAGCAACGCGGAGTCGGGGACCAGTGAACTTGTAGCAAGACTTATGAACTGTTTCTCTCTTTGGCCAACTTGAAAGCTGACTGGCATGGTGTTTTCACTCTTTGCTCAGATTCAATAAAAGCAGCACTCTGATACATTGTAATCAGCCCTCTTTCCTCCTCCTGCGCCAGGGCTCCTGGTGATGGTGGCTAGGAGGGGAGATGAAGGCGCACTGGTGTTCGTCCACTGGGTGTCCTGTCCCTGCGGGGACTTCCAAACGCTCCTCCCTGTGGCTGGCTGTCCCTGGTGGAGCAGGGGCAGTGGACTCAAAGGCAGGACCCCCTAGGAGGGCCTACTCCCATTCCACCCCTCCCATTCTTGGCTTTGGAACACCACCCACTTGGCTGGTCTTTCTGCCTCATTTCATAAGTGTCCTTACTTTTTAGGCACCAGAGGATTACCCAGTGTGGGCGAGCAGGAACCAGAGACACAGGACCAGGGTGGATCCCAGTCTAGTCATTGAGGCTCTGAGGAAGTAATTCTGCTACATCCAGACAGAGCAAGGGGGCCTGGTCAAGCCCTGTCTGCCCCCTGGAACCTGTCTCTGGGGTCCCTCCTTTGCCTTATTCTCCTGCCTCATATATTTATTAATTGGGCTGATGCGCTATCTGAGAGATGCGTGATATGATAGATTCTTACCAGTTTACTGCATGGTGCCAGAAAGGCTGTGGAGCCAGCGCTGAGAGTGGTACCGAAGGCCTGGTCTGATGAAGCCTTTTTCCCATCCCTGGTGGCAAACAAGTCAAGAGCTGTCATGGGTCTCTAGGCCCCTCTCACCCCACCTGGCCCCCATGTGAGTGACAGGGCATGGCACTACCTCTGTGTTTACTCTTTTCTGAATTGAGACGTGTGAGTATCAGAGTGGCAATGGACCAGGTAACGAACTCAGGAGCTTCAAAGCTCCCAGCTTTGGAAAAGCCATCAGATGCCTCCCTACAAGAGTTGGATAGCCGTCTTCCAACGGCCACCACAGCTTGGCCTGGTGAGGAGTCAACTCTGGGAAGCACCAACCTCATCATGAATCAGCCTCCCAGTTGAGACCACCGGGTTGGACAAGCAAGAGAGTGGCTCATCTGCTGGCTATGACGCACCCAGCGGTGAACTCGGTAGAATTGTTTTATTGTACTTTAAGTGTTAGCCCCTTGTCCCCATCAACAGGTGAGGCAGCTGGGTAGTGCAGTGGATGGAATGTTGGACCCATAGTCAGGAAGACCTAGTTCAAATGCTGCCTCAGATGCTTACTAGTTCTGTGACCGTGGGCAAGTCATTTAACCCCTCTTTCCTCATCTGTAAAATGAGCATGATAATAGCATCTCCCTGCCAGGGTTATTATGAGGATCAAATGAGATCATCTGTGTAAAGCACTTTGCAGGCTTTTAAAGTGCTACCTAAATGTTAGCTATGATTACCACATGGCAGATATGACACAGGAATGAGTCAAAGGCTATTCAAGATTTGTGCATTGAGGCCATTGGAGAGGTGGTAGGACCTTTGAATAGAGAATTGTGGAGGAGGGATGTGGGTGGAGTGGGGAGTAGAGTGAAGAAGTGAATTATTACCAATTAGGTTTGGTTGATTTGGCAATTTCAATGAGACATTCCTTTGGAGAAATCCTATGGGCAGTAGAAGATGAAGTATAGTTTGTCCTTTGTTTTCAAAGAGGACCAGTGATATGAAAGGGTGATGTCTTGGCCTGCGTATGAATTGGAATTAAGTGAGGCAGAGCTGCACAAAGTCAGCAGCCTCACTTTGTCTTCCAGAGTCCTCAAAATCCAGTGGCAAGACAGAAATCAAGATGACTGGAGATGGCCCAGGATGCAATGGATGACCTTGGTGTTATCAATGTCTGACCAAGCTCCAAGTTCATCACCATATCTGCTTTGGCTGCCTTCATGGCTATTGGAACAACTTGTCTTCATCCGCCCATTTCACTGGGGTGGAAGTTTTCACATGCTTGGGGTAGACATCCCCCTAAGTCATCACTGGGTTTGAGACCCGTCAGTTACTCTCAGTCTGGTTCAGCCCATCTGCTGAGATGGTTTTACTGGTGTGTGGTCACCGCGTGTGCCACAGCTCCTTGGAGCCACAGGTGAAAGTTGTGAGCAGCCTTGAAAAGGGCTCAGTAAGCCCTCACACCAGATGTGCTAGTCCTCCATAGACATAAAAATGTAATCTAAGGTAGCTGATGAAATCCCGAAGAAAGAAAACGTAGAAAAAGAGAGAGGAGGAGATCCAGGTCAGAACATTGGGCAAGGGTCACCAGTTACGGGGCAGGATGTGATGATCCAGGGAAGGACACTGAGGGGTGGCAGTCAGAGAAGGGGGAAGAGAACCAGGAGAGAGCAGTTTTTCCAAAGTTTAGGAAGGAGAGAGCATTCAGGAAGAGATAGCGGCAGACAGTGTCAAAAGTCGCACAGAGGGCAAGAATGATGAGGACTAAGAAAAGATTATGGAACATAGAAATCAAGGAATTTCTCATAACCTATTGCAGAGAAGCATTTTTGTTCAGTGGTAGCATCTGAAAGCAGATTGTGAGGGGCTGAAAAGTGAGTGGGTGAGACAACAGGGGCCCAGGTGTAGACAGCTTTTTAAAGCTTCTACTTTAACACATTTGCTAATTTGGTGCTAGTTAGGCCATCATGGCCCATCCCAGAATGGTGGGTGTGGGCTGAGAGAGCCCAGACACACAGCCTTCTCCATCTGACTCTCACAAGCCCCACTCCCATCCCAGGCTTTCTATCAGTGAGCCCGGATATGCTCAGCTCTCCCTCTTCTTGCTGATGAATGCTGAATGAGATCTTTCTCTAGATCATGCTCACTAACCATGGGAGGGACCCAAGGTTGGGTCCAGGGTGTTCTTTTTACCCTCTAGTCTAAACTTCCTCTCGTGATGACTTCACCTGCTTCCATGGGTCCAACTATCATCTCCATGTGGGCGACTCCCAGATCCCATGAGCCATAAGTCTCTCCCTTGAGTTCCAGTCTCAGATATCCAAACGCCTTTTGGATATTTCTCAAAGCGGCTGTCACAAACTTAAGATATCCAAAAGATAAATCATTCTCTTCCCCACCTCCCAAACTCCTGTCTTTTCTGAACTTTGCTGTTATTGTCAAAGGGACTACCATCCTCCCGGTCACCCAGTCTCACAATCTTGGTGTCACCTTCAACTCTTCTCTCCCGCTCACCCCACACAGAAAATCTATTGCTAAGTCTTATCTTTCCACATTCACATCTTTGTTATATGTTTCCTTGTCTTCATTTCCCATCAGTTTTTCTACTTGGTTTCAACTCTATGAACATCCTGGCTCCCCCCAAATAGACTCATCTCCTGAAATCCCATCCTTTTGATTAGAGGGCTGGAGGACAGAGCTATGAACTCCTCCCAAGGACTCCCTTTATAGAGGACTCCTCCCCTGAAATCCCACCATCTTGGAGATTGTCAGCTTTGATATTCAACACCCCAACACCCTCAGCTTCCTCTCTCCTCAGATTGGAGGGCTAGAGGATAGAGCAATGAACTCCCAAGGCCTCCCTAAATGCCATGCTTCCATGCCTGGTACCCTCTGATGGACATGTAAGCAGCTTCTTGTACCCAGCCCAGCCCAGATTAGTATCTTGCCCCCAGAGTTTTCTTGTCTTCCTTATTTCTCTGCCTTGGCATCCTGTCCCTCTAGGCTCTGCTCCTCCAGCCTGACAAGCTCTGAATCCTCTCTGACTCCTTTCTCTTCCCCCATGAAGTTCCTCGATCTCCACTTTCCTTGATAATAACTGGTATTTCCCAAATATGTCCTTAACTCCTCCCACTCTTGGTAAGGTGATGGGTATGGGTATCAACCCACCAGTGAAGGAAATGTTACCAAAGTTTTGCCAAAACCATGCTCCCAAGCTACAAATACCACGGGTTAACAGGTGGCACCTTCCAATCATTTGAATAGGTATGAAGGCCATGGGACAGCCTGACCCGTCCCACCTCAGTCCTGCCAATCCAGGAATGTTTCCTTCATAGCCATAGAGGGAATGACTCTCTTAATCCAGTGCTGTGTACCCTGAGACAGGAGCTGGATCACTAGTCACTTAACTCAAGATGGAATCCTCTCCTTCCAAACAGATTTACTCCACTTAGCCGAGCTCCCGGTTCAGAATGGCAGTGCACCCCCTCTAATGAGATGGAACTGAGAGGGTGCATAGGACTGAGCCTGGGACATACTTTGGTCAGAAGTAGTAGACAGGCCTTTCTGGACCTTGCCTCCTACCCTTTACTTGCCTAAAGGTTCTGCTCCCGCTTCTCTCACTATGGCAACCCTACAAAGGTTCTCAAATTTGACTGCTAACCTGTTGTCAGCCTCTTCCACACAGATTCCTGAAGGAAGAAGTTTCTGGAAGCTTCCTCCTCTTCAGGAAAGGGAGGTCATGAAGCAATCTTTAAGCTGTGCTCCTTTCCTTCCTGTGGCCCCCAAGGGAACTAGAAGAGGTCTGGCTTTCATTTTTCAAGTTTTAAATTTAAAATACTAATCTTTTTTCAAGGAACACAAATCTATTGGTAACCAACTGTCTTCAGATCTATTGGTGAATTAGGGAGATGTCCACCTCAAGCATGTGAAGACTTCCCTCATCACAGTGAGTGGATGAGGACAGTTTATTCCAACAGTCAGGAAGGTGCCCGAAGCAGGCACTGTGGAGCACTTAGAGCTTGGTCAGACGCTGAAGAGGCCAGAGTCATCCACTGCATCCCAGCCATGATCAGTCAGCTTGACTTTTATCCTGCTACTGGACTTCAATGACTCTGGAAGAGAGGATGAGGCTGATGACTTTGTATAACTCTGCCTCTCATCAATCCAATTCACATTCACTCACAAGTTGAGACATCACCTCAGGACGTCATTGGGGTCCTCTTCAGAAATGAAGGACAAAGAGCCACAAAAACAAGCTGGAGAAGAAAATGGCAATCCACTCCAGTATCTTTGACAAGAAAAACCTAAAATTGGGTCACAGAGAGTCAAACACAACTGAAACAACTGAACAACGACAAAGAAAGAAAGTAAAAGGGCTGCCTTGCTGCAGTGAGGGCAGAAATGAGATTATCAACATAAATCTGTAGAGGA